GTCGCTGGCGTTACGCGTCTCGACGTAGACCGGAAGAGCCTTAATGTGCAGCCTTTGCTTGTCCAGACTGAGGTCACAGCTGGCGTGGTTTTGGCCATGTGTTGCGAATGTCTCCAGAATGGAAGGCTAAGCAACTGTTTCTTGCCCATAAGATTAGCCCGGTGCAAATATATGGATGGAGTGTTCCAGACTCCAGCTGTCTTCTGCCAAAGCTTAGATTCTGGCACAGGATCCGGAAGTTGGAAGCAGATCTCTGACCCGAAAGGAGAAGTGGCGATCGAACATGAAGACACCAAATGAATCTGCGAAGCAAGGGGGCTATTCAAACATGCCACGGCTTTATGCTATTTGAGCACTTTCAATGTCATGTGCATCTCGCGACCTTTGATCCGCTCGAACGGTGTTTCGGCAGCTGATATTCCTCCTATGCTACCACGTGAACATTAGAATCTGGTCGTTTGCCAGAGTATGCCAATCTACTCTTGGAAGAGTCCTTCGTTATTTCAAATTCTGGATCTGTGATGTAAATGAGGCAGCAGGTGCGGAATGCCAGCTCCTGAAACATCGCTTGTGTGTTGACCGCGAGGTGGCACTAGCGACAGAATAATGCGAGATCCACCTGGAACTGCAGTTTCTCAAACTATACCATGGTGACTTGACTATTTAAATGCCCTCGCGAGATACTACAAGGGGCAGGGCAATGCGCCCCAAACTCTGCTCTTATAGGAGTCTTTCGTTATTTGAAATTTTTGGGCATACCAACAATCTATGAGGTTTATTTCAGATTTGGTACTGTATTATTTAATGCACCAAATGCTTAACTCTCCATCGTAATTAAAGCCTAGTTTGGCGTTTCTTCATCAGCATGAACAACCAGGTTGAAACTGAATTACTGTTTGAATATTCATTTCGATTAATTGTTATTGTCATGCTATTAAAATAACATCATTTTAAGATTCTTGTTAACTTAGTATTTGACTTTTGGATTTGCAACCGTCGGATGTTTTATTCTTTAATGTGATCAGGAATTCCGGATTTAAATTTTGCTTCGTACGCTACAGGCAATAGACTTAAATCAAAGTCAGTGAGATCACTTTTAGTTTTCGTGCCTATCAGCTAATAATCCATGTCAGAATCCCATTGGTTCACTTAATTGAGAAAATGTCGCAACATCGACTTTCTACACAACCCCTGATTGGTCCTTGCAGTTCCTTAGAGTGCTAAAGCCAAATAATGCAAATGTTATTATTTTGAAAACATGCGCCATTAACTGAACCATTATAATAATTTTTCCAAACCTCCCCGATTGATCCTGTATCATGTAGATAGAAAGGCCCTGCCTGTTGCAGAGAATAGCGCAACTACAGATTACACAATTGTGAATCACGCCAGCAACCACAAAATATCTCCAGGCATTTATCCAATCTGATATTTTACAGGCTATTAGCTGCTTAAATCCAGTGATGGTCTACCGACGTAGTAGTGTCCGACTTTTGCAGAAGTTTTTGTGTTATGAAGCAAATCTGTCTGTAACAAGGATGCTACAATTAACCTGCGTTAAAAACACTACGGACCGCAGTTCACGCTAATTCCAAGGAAAAGCATGCAGCGGTCGTCCATGTATATGGAAGAACAGTGAAACAAAGAACGGAAAGTTTCCAAAAGTCTGAAATACTACCTCATGCTTCTGTGGTGGAGCCGTGGTATCTGTCTTTCTGAACAGCCATGACACAGCACTGATATCCGTTTCTGTGCTCTCTGACAAAGGTAGCTAATTTTTAAAGCAGTCACGCTAAAACTACATAAAGAGTCCTTTATTTCCTTTTCCAATTTAACCATAGGACAAAAAATAAGTTACCTGACCAGGGTTCTCAAGTTTCAACTGTGAGTGTGATGCTTATCGACTAGGTATTCTTTCCCTCTTCTCTGAGGAATATGGACCATTAACTAATGAGGCGAAAAATCAGCATAGTACTTCATAAGACATAAAAATTTGAGATAAAATAACTTCCTTCACGCTTCTTAGACTGTCAAGACCAAAAGTTATACATGATACGTCTGCGTATGTGTGTTTATGTGCCTGATCATCACTTTGAGCCTTTTACAAAGGCCGAATCTTTCTTAACAGTTTTGCAGCTCTTTTCCTATAAAGCATAGCTTACTGCATCGTAGAAAACACAGCTCCTCTCCGTAAGCAGACCTGCCACTAACTTGTTTCTCCATGCTGCATGTTGGTCTCTTGGCCAACCTCTGTCGTGTTTCAGCGCAAGCACTAGGAGCTCGCGGGCTGTAGTAAATGATTTTTGGTAAACGACTTTTCCTAACAGGCCTAAGCTCATTTTTTAGTCCCTCTATCACAGTGAGGTCACATGTGCCTATAACAGAATCAGTCGTCGCGTGGTTTAGCCATTTAACCCTTATTGTGCTTCGAAACCAACACCGGTGCATGCAATTCAACCGTCATAATTGTTCCTTTCTTAGAACAGCCATCTCCGTGCCGATCAACAGCACTGATATCTTAGGAAAGGGCCATCCCTTTCTCAGCCAAAATACTGGAAAATACACGAAAAGCTCTGGATGAAGATGATCTCATATTTTTTACTGATTAGATGGTATCATCGCTGGGGATGATGGAGTTCAGATACTTGAATTAGTCAAGCTCCTGGACTGCTTCTCCTCCCTGATCCGCTCGCAAACTAACTGTGCCCGATAAATTTCAGGGGCGTTAAGAAATAGGCTAGCTTTCGTAGCTGTGTCGCATATGAAAGCCGTCAAGTGACGATGACCGCTCCTCCTCCTCCTATTCACTAGGACAATATGATTGGCGCACTACAGGCCAGTAAGACATTTAGCACGGTGTCTTGAACTGCGCCGTCCATTTAGAGTCAAACCTTCGTGTTTGCCATTTAGCGATGATTCGGAGAAATTAGTCGAGAAAATGTCGAATAGCGAAGGTGAAATCACATCTCAATGATGAACTCCGCAATTCATAGAGAACCATTCAGACACCTGTCTTCGACTTTGACAGAATAAGTGGTTCCTGCATACATCTCTTTCAAAATGGAAACGATGTGCTCAGGTGTCACGTGGTACGTAAATCAATATTGCTTTGTCCGATCATTTTTATAACGAGTGAAATTTCGGTCAGGACATGAATACCTCGTTCGAAGCCTGCTTGATTTCAGTGGGGTTTTCTGTCAACCGTCTGCTACAACCTTTCTAGAATAATCGAGGAGAACGGTTTTCCAGGAGTAGACAGCAGATTAGTACCATGATAAATGGACCACTTGATTGCGCGTTCTCTTTAAATATTGAGATAATTACGCGATGCTTCCATTCTCTATGGAACTACTTTGAATTCAACATTTTATGAAATGGGGTACGAAGATTTTCAGTTATTGTTGTTCCACCATAATTCGCCAACTCATGGGTAATTTGATTCATAACACACACCTTTCTTGCCTTGAAAGCTGCTAAGCTCTTTGGATTTTCAGTTTTGTAGGAGTGTCTCAGCTGACCTCTAGTATGTGAACGAAATGAACCGCTGAAAGGGGAAATTTGA